TATAATTATAATATACTTGTATATAAAACTTAAATCTACCACAAGGATCTTGTTTCCATCAAAATTCAATTAAAGGGAGAGATTAAGATTAGGGACGTCAACGGGCCCGGCCGAGGCCTTCCCCATCATTCACGGGGACGGGGATCCCCGCGGGAATTTTTTACGGGGGTAAAATTTGCCCCCCATTCCCATTCTCTGTGGGGATCCCCGTTCCCTACTAATTAATATCTAAATATACATTTTTATATTAAACATAATCAAAATCATAGCAAAATCAACTTCGACTTCAACTTTGAGTAGCAACAGCAGTGGCGCAGCAGCAGCGTGGCGGGGCAGTGGCGCAGCCGTGGCAAAGCAGTGGCAAAGCAGTGGCACAGCAGCAGCAGCAGCATGGTGCAGACGGATTTGGTTCGACAACAGCAGTCCAGACTCCAGTTCCAGGCAAAAGGGTGAGATGTGAAATAGAAAAGGAAAGAAAGGTGGCAATGAAGGGATTGAGGGATTTAGGGTTTGAGATTTGTAGGAAGGGCCAAAAGGGAAGGTGGAAGATGACTTAAGTGAAAGTGAGTGTGTGTGTGTGTGAGAGTCGAAGGGTGAGAGGCAGGGGTAATCACTGCAGAAATGGAGAAACAAATAAGGTTGCCTAGGGTTAAAAGGATGCTTAGGGTTACAAAGATTGGGTTGGGCTTTGAGTTGGGCTTTGGGATGGGTTAAATTTTATTGAATTGGGTTGGGTTTTAAAATTATATTAAATTTAAAATGAAATTAATTTATTTTTTTTAAATTTTTTGCGGGGATGGGATTCCCGTGAGACCCCGCGAGGTAAAGAAAATTCCCTATAAAATTTCACAAAAAGAAAATGTCTCCCGTCCCCGTGACGGAGATCCCTACGGGACCCCGTGAAATTCGAAACAAATTGCCATCCCTAATTAAGATCAGTCCAGGCCAACATTACAGTTGGAATGAATTAATGTCCTCCTGCCACGTCGCCATCGTAACTTTTGGATCTACTGTCCTGAGTATTACTCCTCCACATTGTTGCGTCATGTGCTCTCCGTGCACAAGATCGAACGACTGCAGTTTTGTAACAGATGTCGGTGGGGTCAGACAATTTTCCTGTAAGGTCCACATGTAATTTCGGCGACAATTTTGTCTACCAAAATAAAAACCCAATTAAATAAATAAATAGATATAATAAAATCAATTGATTTATTAATTTAAATGGTAGGAGTTTGGTTATTTTCAAATAAAATTTTGAATTTAAGTTTTATTAAATAAAAAATAAATATAATTTAA